CTAACACATATCAACATAATATCTTTGATAAATTTTTATATCCTATCCAATTTATTTATTAAGTTATACAGACACGTTGTTTTATTTCCATACATATTATATCACATACGACATGTGCTATCACTAAACTTAACGACGATAAGAATAACCAATAATCAACTTGTATTTTGTATGTATTCTTCTTTCCAATCCAATATGTTCTTCTTCTTCTTTATATATGTGTATTATGTACATACATATATCCAATAGCGGATTTAACGTTCAGAGAACCCGATACTTGACACATTTTTATAAGATCATATTATCTTACAAATTATTTAATCAATTAATTATGCGTGATATATCAATTTATTTGATAACAGAAAAGATACATATGTTTAAATTACATTATAGTTTCGAATATTAATTTGAAATAGAAATTATACATGCGTCAATTTAATTAAATAATTATCAAGTGATATATTAGGTATTTATGAATATGAAATAAAATATGTCGGTTTTAGTAAATCTACCATTGCAAATATGTACACACATGTATATATATATATATATATATATATATATATATATATATCTTATACGAGATAATAAAATCGTCGAAAGAAATCGTATCGATTCCCGAGGTATGGCCCTCCCAGTTAAATTATTTGCACGTTTAACACGCGATATCACGATTCTTTTTTTTTTTTATTTTTTTTTTTTATTTCTTTTTTATTTTAATATTCACGTAGATCAATACACTGAATAATACGTGTTGTGTTATCTCCAAGAAAATTAATGATATAGGAGAACTATTCATATGACGCACGTATAAGAATGTAGTTCTATTTATTTATTTATGTATGAGTGTAGTATGTATGTAAAAAAGTATATGAGAAGGTCGATCGACTTATATACTTCTTCTTCTTCTTCTTCTTTGTAGAATCCATCACCCTAACGTACCGTAACGTAGGAATATTTTATAAAAGAAAACCAATATGTATGAGTTTGTATATGTGTAATACATATATGTATGCATGTATAGGAAAAAGGAGTATATAATAAAACGTTGATTATACGTTTAGTAAGCAAAAGTTTACACATCAATGGTGCTATGAAAACGATCGAAGCGTGTGTATGCAGTTCAATGAAAAAATATAAGCAAACACTATTTAATGCTTGAATTGTTACAATGAACAATAATATATACTATATATATATATATACAATATATTATAGCACGATATACTTCAAATAATTTTTGGATATTACACCATAGAAAAATTGCGACAATTAACTATCCATTTTGTATTATATATTTTTTTTTATTTAAAATTACGTGTGTTTATTATAGATATTTATAAGTGGATTGATTTAAATGGGGCACCCTGTATATTATATATTCTATTACATTATGAGTGAAAAATACTTCATCATTTTTGAAAATAATTATAGAACATGATATTTTTATAACTTAAATATACAACATTTGAGTGAATGAATTAAACTGCTAAATAAAATAAGATTTGAGTATATATTTATTTCGAAATATTTTAATATTTAACAATAATCTATTATTCTTAATTAATCTTTTAAAATCGACGATTAGTTTTTATCGTTAATTCTTTTTTTATTTTGTTTACACGTTATTTTTCTTCGTCTTCTTTTCTTTCTTCCTTTCTTTCTTTTTTTATTTCTATACAAATAAAAAAAAAACTCGTACCTATTCATACATTTATACGTATTTGCTTACGTATTTTCTTTTTTTTCCTTTAAACGAGACTGCGGTCCCCTGTCGTAGATAGACCATTATTAACGATGTGCGAACAAAATTATTCTTATCGTTCTGGATCAATTACGACACGAGACTGCAATTAAAAAAACAACTACAAAAAAAGAAGGGAAAAGTTGAATCTTTCTTGTTCTTTTCACAGCTAATATCACGATATTCCAATATTATTTATAAAATTATTTTTAAAAGATGTTTACAATTTTTCTAATTGTTCGTATAAACATTTATAATTGTTTATAATTGTTTTATTACATTTTTTTTGTTAAAGGTACTAACAATTTTTTATTATTATTTCTATAATTATTAATATAAAAACGTATAAATATTTGATCGAAAAATTGTCGTAAGATATAAGAAAAAAAATTAAAAACATTTTTATTAACAATAAATATTTGGTTCCTTTTCTCTTCTTTCGTCTCGATTGCAATTTAATGACAAACCATTTTTTTTTTTTTCTTTTTAATTTACTCCCCTCATTATTATCGTAAGTATATATTATATTTTTATACGTTAGATTATTAACGAATCGTTAATTATGTTTTCACTATGATAAGACAGTGCAATGACTAGCGATTAAACAATTTTTTCGTGGAAACTAAAGAACAAATTATTTTCGCAGAATGATAGTTCGTTCATTTAAAAAATCAAATGATATATTAAGAAAAACGATTATTTTTTTTAACAATAAGAAATATCAATGACGATGAAATTTTCTATTACCGACAAAAATGAAAAATAATAATTAATTAGCAATAAGAAGCAAGAAAAGGGGGAAAAAAGAAACAAAAATAAAATAATGTTTTCGGTCGCGAATCGCAGAAAAAAATAGTAAACTTTAAAAAATAATTTATCGAATAATTTTTAATGAAACATTTCGGACATATACTAAAGGTTGTTTGATGTAATTCGAATCAATAATTATTCAAAGATAAAAATTTGAAGATATAATAATCAAGATAAGAAGAAAAAAATAGAAAATAAAACGTACAAACAAAAATAATTGACATAATAATATAAAATGTCGAAGTAAGAAACGATCGGACTCGTAGTTAATGCAATAAATCATTTATTTTGATATAATTTTTAATATCATTTGATTAAATGCTCGCAAATATATGTGAAAGTTATGTTCGATATCTGCAATGGAATGATTCAACTGTTATGTAAAACTTATGAATAATTTTTTATTACATAAGTGTCCCAATTATTATAATAATTCAATAATATTTGAAATTAATTGATTTTACTAATACGTTAGATCCGTCGCAATTGATCTAACTGATTATTCTATAAACGCATTATTTTAACATCTCACAAGTATGAGTCCTATCGTAAATTCTAAACTAGATTGTCATATATTTTTTTTTCTTTTCTTTATATAATCTTTTGCTTCTATAATCTAGTTCGAACAAGAAAAAATTTGTATTCGCAAAGAAAATCTTGTAATTACTTTAAAATGCTTCGAGAACTATCAAAGAATATTCATCGACGTTCTTTTCCCTTTTTTTTTTTTTGAAATCATTCGAATAATTATCGCATCGTTCGTAATCCTGGTTTTGTAATAATTTATACGAACCATGAATAAAGACGCAATTCTATTTCATCGATTATATTATACAAGATCGTGATTTTTTAAACCAAAGATTTGGAAAAAATGAGACTATTATTACAAATTGTTGTAAATAAACACATTATCCAGTCGTCTTTTTGTTTTCTTTTTTTTTAATTCGATGGCAAAACAAATATTGTTGTATCATTAACGATAAGTGTGTAACATCCGATTACTTTAATTACTTTGACAATAAGTTCAAACATTACATATTTAATGGTCTAAAATTTAATTTAAAAACATATGGACAAAAATATCATTCATATTTAACTCCCATAACCACAATTTATAAATATTTTGATATTTAAAATATTCTATAGACTCTAAGGAATAATATAAAACAATAAAAGTTAATAAAAAAATATTCTTAAAAAAATATTAATTAATGTACCTATCAATACATTCCCTATATACTATGAAAGAAATTTAAATGCCATCCTCGAATCAAGATTTTGACATTTTTTCCAATTGCCATTAGAAATCCAGATTTTCTGATAGTCATTTTGAAATTGCTTACCTGGTATAAAAGTATTAAAATTGTTTTCTGGCGTCGCAAAAATGAGAGAAATGTAACAGAAATGCATGATGATACAGGAGGTATAAGAAGTAGATAAAGATGGTCGGTAAAAAGATTTAAGATACGATGGTAACTTACCCTAAGATTTACTGACCACTTGGAACCGCAACAGCAGAAAAAAATGATTTTTCAATTATTAATAACTTATTAAATAATTAATTAATAAAGTGAGCAATTATGGATTTTGATTGATCAATTAAGAGCACTTATTCATTTGTTTCTGCTGTTGCAGTTCTATGCCAACTTTTTTGTGCTATATTAACATGCTTAATTCCGGCAGTAAATGTTGTCAGACGTTATACAACTGAAGTGGTCAGTAAATCTTAAGGTAAGTTATCATCGTATCTCAAATCTTTTTACCGACCATCTTTATCTACTTCTTATACCTCCTGTATCATCATGCATTTCTGTTACATTTCTCTCATTTTTGCGACGCCAGAAAACAATTTTAATACTTTTATACCAGGTAAGCATTTTCAAAATGACTATCAGAAAATCTGGATTTCTAATGGCAATTGGAAAAAATGTCAAAATCTTGATTCGAGGATGGCATTTAAATTTCTTTCATAGTATATAGGGAATGTATTGATAGGTACATTAATTAATATTTTTTTAAGAATATTTTTTTATTAACTTTTATTGTTTTATATTATTCCTTAGAGTCTATAGAATATTTTAAATATTAAAATATTTATAAGTTGCGTCAGGGAAAGTAAAAAAATATATTTTTAGTCGATATATTTTCACGATTTATAGACTAGGAAAAATATTTTAACATATCAATTATTATAATTGGAAGTATATTTTTAATATCACATTCATTTATAGAGTTCAAAAATATTCTCACATTATTAAGTTGTAAATTTTCATCTTAATTTATACAATTATACATTGAAGTTTTATTAAATAACTTTTATATCTTTAAAGCTATCATCGATCAATCCAGAACTGTATAAAAGTAATTAATGTTCATTTTACTTCGTTTAAGAGTTTCGTGGTTTATTCTAATATACATATATAAAACACATTTTATACATTTTTCGTTATCTCGGTATAATTCCATCTTGATATCCTATTCGTTTAAATATCATTGAATTTACATTTGTGAATATGTAGGGTGCACTTTTTGTTGGACATTTAACCCTTTCTAATATTTTTGGTAATCCATACTCTGTTTTATTTCCAACTGGTTCAAACATATTATTCCAAAGAAGATTAGCAGCTAGTCAAAAATAAATCGCAATGGTTATTTCAAAATTATTATATTTATGCAATATAGTATTCAGTATTATTGTTATCATTATTTCTACGTCCATATAGAAATTGCTCGTATTAATGAAAAACGATGTCATGATAGTATGCAAATTAATATATATATTATGCTTTTCATTAAAATCTCAATTCATTCATATTATCGTTTAGTGTTAATCATGTGTATTATATAATTATTATTTTTTTTTAATATTGTGTGTGTGTTTATCATAAGTGATATAATCTTGACACGTCTTTAAAAATGATTATTACCGATTATTGATTATGTAAAATGTTTACTCCTTACACTATGCAACCCTTTATACATCTTTCGTAAACGAAATCTATATAAAGGAGTTCCTTTCTCAAAATAATTATATAATAAATTTATCCTTCATGTATAGAATGTATGTGTAATGATAAGTTCGCGCGCGCGATCGAATTATTCAGTATAATAAAAAAAAATAATAATTCTGTTAAAACAACAAAAAGAAGAGATTTAACTCTACCACCTAAACTATCTCGTTTATTTCGTATAATAGAAAAAAATGTCAGAAAAATAATTATTCTGTTCGAAGACGCCGATATTCTGCCGATGGGCAGAATTTTTTTTTCGAGATATCTAGGTCATCATTTTTATTTTAAATACGACTGCACATTTTTACTACTATATTCTTATAATTTATAAAAAAACGAATCCGATTGATTTGCATTTGTTCCTTCATTACCATCCTCCGAGCGTGTACTAAAGTTTCTGACAAACTGTTCACAATTTTCTCGATAAATATCACCCAAAGGTCAGCATGTTGCACGTCCTTGGATTCGTTTTTTTATAAACTATAAAAATATTTGAGTAAAAATATGCAGTCGCATTCAAAGAAAATGACCTTGCAAAAACAATTCTGCCCGTCACTATATCGGCGGTTTCGAACAGAATATTTTTTTCCTCTGATATTTTATTTTATTGCATGAAATAAGCGAGATATTTTAGGTAGTCGAGTTAAATGGAAGAACCTGTATATTGATTGGCTTATTATTGCATTTTCGATATCAACCATACGAGTTTTACTTAAAAAAAATATATCAATATTTCTAAAAATAGCAATAACATTCTAGATAATCAAAGTTATATCACTAATTTGCATAAAACATTTATAAGAGAAATATATTACAAAAGTAAAATAAATAAATATTTAAAAAGAGTAGTATAGAGCGATGTTAATGAATGAATAAAATTCTTTACCAAGTGCATGACCTTTTTGACTAAAGTGGAAACAGTCATATGTGACTAAATTAGTATCGATTGGTCCTGCTCTACTCGGATCAGCATTTGGTGAATTAAATAATTTCATAAATGGCTGCAATACCACTGTAAATTCCTCCGAATGATCATATCTATCGACAAAATATTTATATTATAATATTTTTTTATTTATTTATTTAGTTACTCTACTATCATATTATAATACTTTTTTAAGAAAAAAAAGTAATTATACCTTCCAGAATTGATTAAAGATTCGACCGCTTTTTGATACATCATTGCCATCGTTGACACTTTAATGTGCGATCGAAATCCTCGATGCATACAAGCGCAATAAAATTGATGTAAAATAGTACACATAGTACTTTGTTTTACTCGAAGAGAAATTGTGACATCTATGCATATTATATAAATAAAAAGAATGATTATTTAACGATTGTATAGATGGAAAAACAGTGATATAACATTCTTTGATTAATTCTATGAAATATATTTCACGAGATAATAAATTATTCTAACATCTTATATAATGATTAATTGCTTATGTTAGGTTTATATTATTATATCCTACCTATGGTAGGAATAAGGTTAACGAGAGTACGAGGTAATGCCATTTTAAGATAATCCAAGACTTTTTTTAGATGATAAGCATGACGTAATGGCGAGAATTGTTCAGGGCTGTAACATTGAGCCGAACAGATATCATTTGCACCGAAGAAAATTGTGATCAACTATAAAAATAATCCATTTTTTTTTGGTTAATATTCATACATTTTTCAAAAATGAATTCTCATCCTTTTTATTATACGTTAAATAATATTAATCATTTTTTTTACCTTCCAATGTTTGGTAAAATCAATTTTAGGATCATTTCTTATTCTGTGAACGAGTATTTTTGCTTGTTCAAAAGCATCTTCGGTAGCTGCTACGGGAAATGCAATATTTAATTTCGCTTTTGAGGAAATGAATTCACCTGTACCTGTCGAATATCCAGTTAAATTTGGATTGAATACCTGTTATCGTTTTAAAAAAATCAAACATTCAATATACGTTTATTAATTTATAAGATTCATCGATAAATCTGATTTAATGAATCATTTAATTTAATAATAATGATTATCAATTAATAATTCATTGTTTAAAATAAGAATGAGAGTTTACCTTTAATAAATTTGGTAAGGTCAAAAATCTTCGCCAATTGTCTTGGCCACCAACACACCAACTGACACCACGTGCTTCGATGAAAGTTCCAATAGCAAATTCTTCTAAAGCACCACTTCCAGCTATCAAAGAATCACCGAGACCACCGATAACATCAATGTCACCTGGTCTTAACTTATGAACACTGTTCGGTATATATGGTGATCTAATTAAAATAAACAAAAATATAAATAAATATTCCTATTTTATATATATATATTATTTTGAATTTCAATGTTATATATTTATTCGATATTTAATTGAATTATATCTTCATCATACCTGCCGAAACGGATGTCGCAAGGAAACGGAATTGTTTTCGGTATATTTGGTTGTCTTCGTACTCCATCGGGAATTATCGAATAAATTATACCATTAGCATAGAGATCTTCCTAGAAAAAAAATAACAATAAAAAAGAAAAAGAGAGAATAATCTAAAAATATAGGATGTATATATATAAAGTGTTGAATAAACATTCTTAAATAATTCCATGAATAATTCAAGAATTAATCGTTATTATTACTCCTCGTGTGTTATTACGATCATTTACTCAGATGGAAAAAGTAATTGATAATGAGTTTGGATTAAAGTTACGAGATTCTTATTCTTGCTTATATGAAAGTGAGTTACGTTGCTGACGTATTTCAAAACAGGAATGAGAAGATTAAATTGCTCAAAATGAACCATACAAATTTAGTCAGGAAACAATTTCTTCGACATATTTCTTACGTACGTAATGTAACGTGTATGTGTGTTGTGTGTCTATGTACAATCGTGAAATATTCCTTAAAATAATAACTAAAATAACAAATCTATTTTCTTTTGTTTTTTTCATTTATCATTTTGTTTGAATAAAATAAAATGCTAAATATAAATGTGAAATAATACGTTACCCATTAATATATTAATATGAATTATTATTAGTATAGAAAATGATTTTATTAAAAAAAAAATTACATTAATAAATACAATTTTTCTTATTTTTACAGTAGGTCAAATTTTGAGGATAAATAACCTGGATACCGAACTTGTACATTTATTATTTATAAACTCATATATAAGAAATAATGAAATATAAGTAGGATAAAAAGTGTTACAAATGCATGCCCACGCGCGTGCATAGACGCGTGCACACACGCATGTGCGCATATATATATATAAATAAAAATTTTCTTCGATATCCCTGACCATATTGGTAGATACTTTCATCAAATATTTTAGTGATTGACACCCCTTTACGATAAGGTTAATAACGTAGTCATTTCACGTATAGACTTTTACTTTCTTTCATTAGCATTTTACTACATCCCGTTTCAACTTAAATACCATTGAATACTAATATTTCGGTGAGACTACTACGAAAAGTGAAATATGAGATAACGGAAAATTTTTGGAAAGTATATAATAAAAAATAGTAAATAAGAATATAATAAACAAAAAATAATATTATAACTTATTTAGTTCCCCATCTTTTATTGATTTAAATAAAATAATAGAAAAGGAAATATTAAAATCGTTTGCGTGTCTATCTTACAAACGTTTAAAAGTAGAAATTAAAAATGTGTGGTGTAAAGATGAAAAAGAGATATAAAAAATTTTATCACTCTAGTAACCCAACTAGTTTTTTATTTACTTCCTTTTCATTCTTTTTTATATTTTCTTTTTTTGTTTTCTTTTTTTTTGGATGATTCTTTCTCTATTTCATTCGAAAAGCTACTTTCGACTGATAGAAACATGCTCGTTTAAAATTTACTTTTACCTACGTACGCCCAAATACACGCGCACACACATATGTGTTAGTAATCAAATAAAATTTACGAAATATTACTGTTTGATCGTAAAAATAATCAAAGTTACGAGAGTATTTAAAATATTCGTTATTTTTTTCTTTTTTTTTTTTCTTTCACTTCAAACTAAATTTCATTCTTAAAACTTGAAAAGGTAAAATATATATACACCGTATATTATCTCAAACTGTTCAAATATTTTTCGTTTTTTTTCAATGCAATGAAAAAATATGTTATATATTTGTATATCATAAATTACGATTGGATAGTTATTATAATTACGATTTCAAATGAAAAAAATTAGAAATAAATGAAATGTAGAACATGTGACAATTACATTAATATTTATAAAAAATGATTGAAAAATCACTCACCCTTCCGGATTTAAAAAGATTTAGTAACATTTCTGTGAAAGTGGCACCTTGTATAAAAGCAACTATTTGAATAATGAACAGTAAAATCGTATTTCTTACTTTCATCGCGCACGCTCACAATTTTCTATTTTTATTTTTCACCAATAAAAATAAATTGTCGTCGAAATACACTTAGAAATTATCAGTAATAATCAATCACTGAATATTTTTATGAATGATATCATAATTAAAAAGAACAAAAACAATAATAATACACTCGTATCTAATATATAAATATTTGATGTTTAGAAACAGCAAAAAGCTGTTTTTTAAATGATATTATATTTAAAACAATAATCATCAAAGTTATCTAATCAATTATCTTCTTCATAATTCGCGTATCGAAAATATTTCTAAACTTTTGTATTATTTTTAAAAGTAACATATATATCACTCAGTTTATACAATAATTCTTCATTAATTTTAACAAGTTTCGCAATCTTTTTTATACATTTTACCAAATGGCAACGATAATTTAAAAAATTGTCTTTTTTCCGGTCTTCATGTTCTATTTTTAAAAATAAGTATAATTTAAATAATGCCGTCCTTGATACGATACATTGAACTTCGAACAGAATCATTAATAAAAAAAAAAAAAAGAAAAAAGAACAAACTATAATAACTACTGTACGAGTACTTTAACTTTTTTACTTATCGTTCAATAGATCAATGTGAATAAAAAAATTAATTTATGCTAACGATGATAGAAGAATACTTTTATAATTATTAGCTAAACAAGAATAATACATTAATGATAGCGCACTGTCCTTGGGCACGTTTGAAATAGTACTGGACATAACTGATGAATGATGTAAAAGAAGAAGAACGTTTCTTCCTTTACCAACATAAACCAACAACTTTCTTCCCTCCCTTCCCTTACCCTCACTTACCCTCAACTCCTCTTCAGGCTCCTTTCCCCACCGGTTTCGTTCATTCCTATCAAATTTATTCTCAGGCTCACTTATTGTTAGTACTATTTTATATTCAACAAGAGTGAAAACGTGATACATGTAAATAAGTGTAAGAGGAATACACTCTCTCTCTTTTTTTATATAAATACATCCATTTATTTATTCGTCTCTATCCATCTACTATTGTATTTATTTTCTTACACGAATCGGTAATTATAACATTTGTCAAGTTGTCTTATTTAATGGGTAAACATGTATTGTCTCGTGTATTTCTTTCTTTTTATTAATTACACACTTACACGAATTGGTCATTTGTTTCTTATTCAAGAATTAATGGTACCACCAAATATCGTAATTTTGAACTTGTGAAAGAAATCAAATTATTTTCTAACGCAACGCAATTAACTATAATTACTAATTACAATAACACTAACGTAATATAATAATAATTATTATTAGTATTATATAATATATTGAATTTGTATTCCATACGTGTATTATATCATTTTTAATATTTCATATTTTTTCTTTTTTAAATTATGTAAAAGAATTGTATTTTGTTAATTAAAAATTAATGCGTAGAATGTTTCAGTTCTTTTCCCCAAAATATTATCAACGCATTGTATGAGTAAAAGAACAAAAGGACTCTAAGTTATATACATTAAATATTTATTCTATTTAATATCATATAAATTAATACAAACTTCCCATAAATCTAAATTGGTGATGTAAAATAATAAGACGAATAACGAAATCATTTTCTTGAAAAATATTTTATTATAATAATTTAACATATCTCTCATTTGGAATCTTCAGTGAGCCCTCCATTATTATAAGTAAATAAATAAGGATTTTTCTTAGTAGGACACATTAATTTACTTGGAAGAAACTCATATGATTTATTTTCATAAGGTGTGAGCAAACTATTCCAAAGGTTACCAGCATCTGTAAAATCAAAACGGAAAGTTCTATTGTTTTTATTTAATATATTATTACAACATAAAATGACCAAAGTTTAAAAATTATCCTTTCATTGTTCATTATAAGAAACATATCTAATAATCGTTTAACTATCAAATGTATACGTCAATCGTTTCTCAACAAGATAAACATGTTAAAAAATAATTACAAATCTACATAAAAAAAAGGATTAGACGTTTTCTTATTCTTTTGAAATCATGGCATTTTCACCTATAAATGTCTCTTTATACTCTTTTATGATAGTTTAAATAAATGCAAGTAACGTATTTATTATCGTAATAGTAACATTGTCTCGAATAAATAAAAAAAACATAACTTACATAAAAAGTTAGTTTTTTGCGATATATGGAAGCAATCAACTGTTAAATACGATGAATCACTATAGCCATCGTCAAGTGTTGGAAATTCTGCGTTCATCAAAAATGGATGAATCATTACCGCGAAATCATCTTTTTGAAATTCAGGATATTTACTTATTTTGATATCCACTTGTTGCCACCTAATTAAATAATTACAATAATCACATTAATGTAACATGAATAACATTATTTAATGCATTAATCATTATTAATTTTTTGTCTCATGTAATTTCTAATAATTTCAAATTAAAAATACTAATTAAAACGATGTTAATGATTAGAAAACAAAGTTCTCATTTAAATGTATTCCATTTTATGTCGATAAATATTATTGACATGTTTAACATAAATTATAAAAAGAGAACACTGACATTTCCATAATCTTGTAATACTCTTGTCTCTTATTTTCATGCGTTAGACCAAATAAACAAGGACACGTAAAATCAATGATTAAATCACAATAAAGGGATGGTCTTCCATTGATTCGAGTTTTAACAAGTCCTCTTAAATTTGGCGGTAGAATAAAAGACACAAAGGCTCTTGGTATATTGTCCCGAAGTATTCTCAAAGTTTCCACAATGTCTCGTTCGTGATTTGCCACAAATTCATTTGGCGAAGTCGTACACATGAATAAGCAAAAATCATTGGATCCGATCATCAGAGAGATATGCTAATAAAGGAAATAAATTAAGGTATAAGTCCAATTCTACATTATTTAAATTTCTGTCACATGTAATACGTGATTCTAACACTAGTTAAATTATTAACATAAGAAAAAAAAATTAGCATAGAAGAATTATTGATTTATATTAAAAGACGTTATTTTTTTTATTGAAAACGAATAAAAGATCTTTGACAAAGTGAAGAAAAAAAAAAAGAAAAAAAGAAAATACATTGGATTGATGATGAAAGCATTGATGATACGAGGAAGAAGAACTGACAAAGATAAAAAAAATCAAACAGAAGAAATACCTTCCAATGTTTTTGCATATCTATCGACGAATCGGATTTTAATCTTTTGACAAGCACGGATGCCATGTAAGGCATGTCGCTTGATACACCGCCAATCTCGGCAACATTTAATTTAGAACCCTTCTCCAACGTTGAATAATCTCCTACAGCATAACCATATAGATTTGGATTGAATTCCTAAAAAACGGAAGTAATATGACGTTAAATGAACGTAAGGTTACATTTTGACTCAAGTTAAATCAAAAATGAATCTTATCTTGAAAAAGATTGTAATTACAAATTTAATCGAATAATGTAAGAATCATTAATCGATCTTTATTTCTTTGGAAAATTATCAATTTTTCTCTCTCTAAAAATACGTAATTTATTTAAATATAATACAAATTATTCAAATTATCGTGTCGTTTTACCATTCAAAAATTCTTTTTTTACGGCATTTAGAAATGAAAGAATTTTAAATTAATATCGAATAGTTGAAATATTAATTACAATTAAATAATATTCAAGATTTTACAAGTATGCCATACAAATAAATAAAATATAACCAAACAGAACCGAAATTACATAATGGAAATCAATTTGCGAGCATAATTCGTTCCAGAAATGTGCTCGTAATCCAAAACAGTCGTTATAAAATACATACAATGTTACAAAATACAATTTTATACACATATAATGTTATAAAATACAATTGTAAGTAAAAATTAAACAAGTTAATCCTCACTTTACTAATTATATACTTTACTTTATTAATTATACTACTCGTGTTAAACGAAAAAACAGAAAACCAATTAGAAATTAGTCGACTTCTTTTTATTTGTATATATTTTTAACTTGGCCCAATGATTTTATTGGAAATTTTAGAAGGAAAAAGAAAAAAAAAAGAATTGAGTTTGTACGATACCTTAAGTATATTGGGTAAAGTCAAATATTTTCTCCATGTATCTTGGCCACCACCAGCAGCAGCAACTCCTCTATTATCAATCAAAATGTGAAAAAGGTTCGTTCCAAAGACTCCTGTTCCAGCAGACAAAGAATCCCCCATAGATGCAATAATATCTATGTCACCTGGTTTTAAACGATTAACACTCGTGGGTCTAACATCTGATCTCCAGCCTGTTTAATAGAAATCATTAACTATTATCCAAAACGTTAAATCTTTTCAAGTTATATTTTTGGCCTTTTATTTTTTACCTTTAACGTCGCACGGAAAAGAAATATTTTCTGCAATCTGTTCTTGCATTTTATTTAACTCTTTGGCCCTTCGCAATGATCTTTCTGAAGTACTTGTAGAACCTTAATTAATCAAATTATTCAATATCGTAATTAAAGTCAAATCATCGATCGATTTAAATCTGTTTTGACACAAACATTATGATATTATTTATTGATATTAACACCGTGTTATTACAAATATCTCTCAAATTATAATAATTTTGTCAGAATAAAAAAATGAAAGACACTTAAGTAAAATGTAAAGAAAAATATTCAACGATTATGAGTTACACTTGTTCTGATATATTCGTTTCAAAAAAATGTTATAGATTTGTCCTAATTAAATAATGAAACAAAACTAATTGAAATCAACACGAAAAAACTTTTCACACATATCACTTAACGATCTCTAAGTAATACTTAAAGTGAGAATGAGATACACGTACCAAGAATTTTGTAAAGTCCAACACGAATCAATCGATAAAGCCGAAGATTGTCCGGATTGTCTAGAAATGTCTTTTGCGATAATACTGAGGTGAATGATTGATTAAATAATATAAGAGAAATTAGAAGAATACACAAATTTATTTTAATCATTGTTGTAAAATAATTTCCAAACAAATATAATAGTAATTAAATTTCGTCTATACACTGTCTACAAAATTAACACTAATAACTTGTTGATCCTCTTCTGACAGAAGCATCGAACAATCTGACGATGAGAATACATTTTGCTTGAATACTTACTCTGACCATAAAAAACTGAGATGTATTGAAGACCTTGCTGTTACCACCACCGTACTAACAGATCGAAGGTTATTTTTACATCGAAGGAAACTAATATTTTTGCATTTCTTCCCTAACTTACATTATTATATATTAATGGAATACCTGTTTTTCAAATTTATCTTGTTCATAAAATAAAAACTGATGGGCTTGCATCCACATAAACAGGCAAAATATATCTCTCAAATTTACATTTGATGAAATATAAACTTATTTGAGAAATAATCTTTCAGTAGAAAAGATTCTCTAAATTAATTCCTTGATCTTCGTTTTGGCCTTCGATTACCAAGAGAATGTTTACCTATAGTCATATCAAAAGAAAACCTTATGAGCGAATTACTTTCATTTGGTTTTAAACGTTATCAATAAACGTGTATGCAAGTGAAAATAATAAAAACGCGAACATGATTATTTTAAACCCGGAATACTACGTTTGTAATTTTTCATGAGATAATATTTGATTTGAAAAAATATATAATCTTTATCTAACATAAGAGTTAATCATGAGTTTCATAAAATTATAAATAATCGTATTGAATGACCGATTATTACGTATAATTGATTAAATTCTTCATTTTACTATTTTTTTACTTGTGATTTTTTGCAGCAGCAGCAGCAGTTTCTTAACTAAAACAAATTATTACATGAACACCATTCGATTTATTTACAAACTTGTCATACAACATTTTATATCTTCGAACGTTTCGTTGGTGCATATATGCAATTCTTCGTATTGAATAATTATTTCTTCATATATAGGTGGAACAACAACGACATAACAAAGAAGTTAGTTTACTTGAAACGGTAGCGTGCTTGTGTGAGGAAACACTTGTGTTGCATATGAATCGTTAAGAGGGAAGAATGCTGCTTTGTTTATAGATACATACATTTCAATAATATGTATAAATAATATTTATTATACCCTTCGATGTGTCCATTGATAGCTAATCGAAAAATACTAATGTTTAATATTGAAATTATTTTAAATGAAATGATCTCTCAAATATTTCTTCTTTCACAACCGATTTGTTTTTATTTTTTTTATTTTTCGATGACGTTATCTAAAAATCGTAAATACAATGTATTTTATTGCGTAAAAAGATGCCTGTGTACGTATCAACCTGCGTAAATGCAATTTTTTTTCCATTAGGTGTATTATAGGTGTAATTTACTGATACGTAATATTTATATAAACAAAACATCAATATTTATACATATTGCGATAAAAAGTCTTCTTCTTCTTCTTTTTTATCTTTAAAAAGTATATTGAATTCATAATACGTGTTGGATCGAATTAATGATATCCTGAGGATATGAATAACAAGAAAGAAATTACTTATTCTAAACATGATTTTTGCGAAATCGACCAAGCAAAATGTAATCGCGAATAAATTGTCTGTTATAATATTTTTTCTTTGAGTTAACATTTTTTTTTATTATCTTGGAAATAACGTGCTTTGGTCTCAATAAAAACAGGAAACGTACGTTTAAATAATTATGGTATCAAAAATTACCGACTGCGATACGTCGACAAAGAAGGAACATTACAATGTAACAAATAGCAGACTACGATCCGTCGGTAATAAAAATTATATTATAATATGGAAATTTACCGACCATGATCTGTAGATAAAACTTAACGTCGCAAAGTCGATAAGACCTTGATTTAATATCTAAATTATCATCCAATAATACACAAAAAATTAACATCTAATTTGTCTGACTATAATTCAAACTTAATTACCGTCTTTTTTATAATCACATCTACATAATAAACATATTTATCAAATTTTTTACTTTTCTTTTTTTTTGTTTAACAATTAAAATGAGGATATTCGTTCGAAAAATCATTATAAATAAAATATCATTTTGTTAATAACAATTTACGCAACTGCAATTAAGATTGTTTTTTTTTAACGTCTGTTGGAACAATACAAATTTGATTATCCTTTACGTATAGTTTTATCGATCCCAGATTCTTTAAATTGTTACCTTTTTTGTTTTCTTACAATTAAAGATAAAGATAAATGCGAAATACGAATTTCGATTAAACGCGCGTAACGTTTTATATAAATATATGACGTAATGATTAGTCATCATGCGAAAGAAAAGTATTCTAACATATGTATACGTAAGATCATCTTAAATAAGAGAAATGATATCGCGCGTGCGATTGACTTGTTAAAGTGTAATTCAAACTCCTTTTATCATCTATATTTCGAAATATTAATGTTTTTAATTGAGATACATCGACAATAAAAATACTATATTATCATGTTAATATCAATACTCATATACCGTTCAATCCGATCGATACCATTTACGCACACACGCGTTTCGTGTACACGAAACTACTTAAATGTCAAAGTAATACGATTATTTTGTAACTTAAAACTCGTCCAAAAAAATCTTCTAAAAACATGACGCTAATCAAATATTAATCTCATATATTATATGTATGTACTCTACAATGAAAAATGAACATTTCTTAGTATGATAGATTAGTAAAATCATTCTATTCGAAGAATACAATCGATATTTTCCGTCTTGCGTAAGGAAAATTCCTCCGATCGGAATAATTTATAATGTAGATGTTTCTATTTTTCAATTAATTACAATTAATGCATTTCTTATTCGCGTAAAAAAGAAAAAAAAATAATAGGAGAGAAAAATTACAAAAATGTCTCCAACAACGAAATTATCTACGGAATTCAAATTTTTCATTCTTTAAAATGAAAGAATGAAGAAATGAAGAATTAAAATAATTCACGAAAAATTACATTTATGCGTATACATTTTGTGTATTTTGGGAGACTTTTTGAATTAAAAAAAAAAAAAAAAAGAAAAAAAGAATAATAATAATAATAAATAAGATATGCGTTTATTGCATCATAGACGTTTACCATTTACTACAAAATAGCGTCTATAGGGTGTAGATGTTGTGTTTTTTGGGAACACGGGTCAGAGTTTCCTTCAATTATTTAGGTATCTCTTTTATCTTCGTCTATTTCCAGCAGCTGCTTCCGTCATTGAGAATCGATCCAGTTGCTGCCCTCTCTTTCTCATGTAAAAGTCGTCCACTATTCTTCCTCTCTTTCTTTCTCTTTCTCTTTCGTTTTATCTCGCACATCTACATACTACAACTATTTTATCCCAACACATACTCTCATTCATTTTCTAACACATTTATAGATATTCTAACTCTTGTTAAATCACACATATTCGTAATATCACTCTTTTACTCAACACACACACGTACATATATTCTTACTCTTTTACACCAACAGATACTCTCGATCATTTTAAAAACACACGTATATACTTTCGAGCTCTCTTATATTCTATTATACATATTCTTATTTTTATTTTTTCACTATCACACATATATCCTATTTTATCACTTAGTTATTTCAAACATATAATCTAAAATTGATATTTTCTAACACACGTGTAGATACTTTCACTGATTTTCTAATATACATGGCATACTCTCGTAAAAAATAATTTTCTCCCGCATACACAGTCTTACTCTTTCACTCGTTCTTTTCGTAGAAAAGTGGAAGGAGAAAAGAGCCGAGAGATTTCTCGAGGGCGAGAGCCTGAGTGGAATACGAGGATTGTCAGAGGTCAAGGTTAAGGCAAACACATGTTTCTTTCCTTTTATCTCTTTCTCTCTCTCTCTCTCTCTCTCTCTCTCTCTCTCTCTCTTCTTTATCTTACTGTCTTTGGACTCTCACAGTAAGTTTTCCACTTTCTCCCCTCGCGAAAATCTTTCATCGTAAGCAATTATATACTTACATACTTACATACTTACTTACTTATATTAGTTACTTTACCTCTCTTCTGTCGTTCATTGCTACACAAGACGGTGTCAAGGGTCGCTGAACTTTTGATTCGAGTAACTTTTACTTCTTTCTTTTTTTTTTTTATCTCATTTTTTTTAATCCTTATCTTTTTTCTCTATCCTCTCTTTCAAGCGTTCCTCTTCACTTTCATTTCTTCCTCAAACATCAAAAATATCAAAACAGAAAGAGAGAAAGATCGTTTGAATTTAGCGTTACTCTCTTCTTCTTGAAAAAAAAAAAAACAGAAAAAAAAAATAAATAAAAGTAATTGCAGAAGTTCAGTAAAATTTCTTATAAATATTTATTTTATTTTAATATACATTGTGAAAGATAGTTTTTTAATGTAGATTTGTTAATTTAATTATTTTCATTGAAAATGCAAATATTTTATATCGTTGATTAGAAAATAGTGAATAGAATTGGAAACTGAACAGATATATTTAATTGTAATTGAATTTTAATCTACGATCAGTATATACGATAAATGCGTAAATACTTGTTCTATTCCAATCAAGCTGTCACATTACTTTCTATTTATAATTAATAAATGTTAATTTTATAATTTTGCTAATAAAACGGATCGATTATGTGTCTCTGCTATTATTTTTTTCTTGTAAAAATATACACCACGTACAGCTTATGTTGCTTTCTTTTCTCGTAATATTTTTATCCTGGATAAACAAATTTTCTTTTCTATTCCTTTTTTACTATTTTTTTTTTTTTTTTTTTTAATACATATCTATGTCGTTTACGAAAGATGATACATAGCTTGGTTACGTTTGTTGGCACTTATGATTTATCGTTGCTAGCTAAACGTTTGAGAAGATCAAAGATCTCAACTTCCTTTAAAATGCACTCATAGCATCGAAATAATATCGATATATATCTTTTTTTTTTTTTTTTTTTTTTTAAAAAAAAAAATAATAATAATAAAAGAATCGAACTGTTTGTAATTTAAATTATGAAATAATCTGACACGAGATGTATGAAATATTTTTGTATACCAAAATTACA